CGATGGTATCAATTTTACTCGTTCCACGGAATTAATCGTCGGTAACGCGCGGCACCAGAATTCTCGAAAGCGGCGAGCGGGGGCAAGGTTTAATCGAAGAATGTACTCGCCGCGACGCCGTATGAGAAATTATTACGGTTGACCGTGGACGAGGAGAGAGTGGAGAAGAGAGGGGGCACGCAAAAAAAATTTCATTAGACCCGACCATGACGGAATTATAGAGAGGAGACGCGGGAAACGATAAGCATTTCATTTGTCCGGCTGTCGAATAGGTTTTTCCCGTTGAACCGCTGCTCCCGTCCATAAGTAACTTCTCTGGATACTGATCTAACGTAAATCTCGACGCTTCGGTGTACAGAAAACACGGATCTTGTAATCATTGTATGGAAACAGGGAGTTTGATAAATGTTTCAAAAACATTCATCTGATAAAAATAATGATGATGATGACGATAATAGATAATATATCGGTTCGAAGACAAATATGAGAATCGGTGAGGCTTCTGAACATAGAATTAATTAAAGGGACCTAATATATATCGTTAGTTGATGAAACGAGTCTGATAGGTGTCCAAAATATTTGTTTGCACAACAAATATTGCATATACTAGAAATTAATTAACACTTATTACGTCGTATTTAACAAACAAATATTTTCAATTTAATCCGACGCTAATTAACCCTTATAATATGTAAAAAATATTCAGTATTGTAAGATCATTTTCATTAGAAACAATTTATTTTACGAAACACTATTGCAAATGTACGAGTGTTGAATAATAATTTATAAACTTTCAGTGTATATTATTTGCACCGACAAAGTACTGTCGTCACGTCAGAGGTGACTTGCCTTTAAGGGTTAAGGACGACAGTATTGGTAACCCGTCATTTGGAAACGATTGGAATTCCAAAATAAAAGAATGCAAGGCTACAAAAGTACAATTTGAAATAACCAAGTCGGTGAGTTCGATTTTTATTCGCCCAGGGATTCCAAGGAATTCTGATTAAATTACATGATATCGGTTTCACCTGTCCACGATGAGTAATGAAAATCATTCGCGCGTACCGACCGGCCACCCGGTATATTGTATCACGGCCACGTCCGCCTGTTAGTCGAACAATATTTCTCCACCGGAAATATTTACGAACCGTCCTAATAAACGTTGCCATACGTGTATCGCAGGGAATCAATTATTTTCAGGATTTACCGTGCAGCCCCCCCTCCACCCACCCCCATTACAGCCGTCGTTACAATCGAGCGCAGCGGGTTAACTATCGATTATTGTGTTCCCGCGCGCGCGGCGTCGCTCACGCTCGTAATTTTCATTCGGCCGTTACTTTCTGCTGATCGAACGCCGCGGATTGGAACCGGTTCTTAAATCTCGGACCGTCACGAACTACGCGTATCCAAAGCTTCTACGTCGATTCGCGTTAAATTTCCTGCACCGCCGGTGACCGGGTCGGTTCTGACCCAGATTCGAAAAAATTTACGATCGGTCTTTATTGTTCTATAACAACTGGGCTACCGATAATTTCGAACCGATTCGCGCTTCCTTAAATGAACCCCTTGCCTTCGACAATATTTTTCATTAAAAACATTCATTATTTTCTGACGAAATATTAACAATATTGCAATTTGCATAAAGGAACATCGTGCATAAGTTATAGGGCAAAATTGTTTTATTTATATGTTTCATGGGTTAATACTTTATTCAGTATTTTATATTCAATTTTTCATTTTATGATTTTGCTGCGTTCAATCGACCGAGAGTCGCCTCTCGAGTACGAAGAGTTAATATATGTTATGGATTAATTATTCATTTTTTTTGTTTTCTTAGAGCCTTCATATTTGTTCGGTTTTTCTTTGTTTTGTGATTTATGCTGAGTCCCCGACTTCTCTTTATAAGGATACTTTTGAATTTGTTAAACGTGTAAGAGAATTTCGAATATTTTATACATTGGTAAATTTCATTACTCAGATAATGGTACCAGAATTGTTTTATTATATTAGTGGAACTGTTTTTTTCGTTGCGGTTCGATTATTTATAAGGACCACATGCACATAATATCCGCAGTCTTGCGATGAGTCACTTGAGGCGAGTTCGGAAGATACACATTCCGAAATGTGTCCTCGCTGCTGGTGGAGGCGGAGAAATATTTGCTGAGTCAACAAACCTAAGTAACTACAAACAACTACATTAATTCATAAAATCTTGTGAACCGAAACTCTTGATACCGTTTCACAGGAGACTTTCTAAAAACTAAGTATGAGTCACGAAAAACTTCGTTGCCAAATATTTTCACGGAACATTATCAAACATAACCACCGTATTAATTCATAAATTTACTCAATAAAGGAAATCCAAATACTAGCAAATTCGAGAAATATCCAGCATCATAAAATCCTCGAGCTACTAATAATTGCTGCGATATTTAATAATATATCCCTTGTACAGATAATAAGATCACGAACAAGGCTAACATTTTCGTAGAGAAAATTGCATTTTAACTAAGACCGTGATTGGTCCGAGGAAGGAAAAAATTCTTCAGGAACAAAGAACGACCGGTCAAAAAGCGGCTACCGTGCGGTTGCCAGAAACGTCCGCTTCCGGGGGATTAATTAATCGGGCAGGATTCGACGGGGCTTGGATAGAGCAACGCGCCGATCTATCCGTGTTAGCCTCTATGCTCCGGCGGTCTGTTGCAAAGAGTATGTCGATAACAGAACACCGGACTGCCCTAAAGGAGAACACGTGAGTGCTCGCGCGTGCATTGGTTAACAATGACGGTGGTGACTAGCTTTGTGCGGAGCGCGTCCCTATCGGAAAGGTTAAAAGATCGCCTAGGTGATTATGCTGTTATAACAGTGTAGCAAAATATTGAACGACGCAATATCGAGCAGTTACATTTTAACCATTTACGCTTGTAAGTGACTCCCAGTTGCCACTTGATTTCACGCGGGAATAATATGAAGTTCTGTATTCCATGTTAAATTTTGTGTAACGTATTAACCCTTTGCACTTGGAATTTTCTCATTGAAAATGTTGAACACTGTTTGACGAAGCGAGGACGATATTCCTTGAAACTAACTCAAAGGGAAATCTCAAGTACATTGAGGAACAAAGTTGTTTTATTTCAATATTTCACGCATCAAGGCATTTTACACAGAATTCAATATTAAACATCAGATTTTATCGCCTCCCGAGTGCAACGGGTTAATATACGAAATACTGAAATAAAGTAGCTATGTTCCATAATTCATGTGCGATTTTTCTGTAAGTGAACTCTAAAAATATGTCATCTCTGTCTCATTAGAAAATGTTAAATATTTATAGTGGAACTAAAATTTTGAATAAAAGGAAAAAGCAAGGTACTTTGATGTTAAGGGTTGCGCATAACAATAAAAACGTTTCTTTTCAGGATTATTCTCCGTTTTCACTGTAAGAAATAAATGGAAATATGTAATGTGCTTTTATATTCTTATAAAAGATTGAATAATAAATTGAAATTGCTGTAGCAACGTTGACGCGTGTTCCGAAAGCGTGGGAGAGAATTGTTGCATACGGGTTTATGTGTTCGAGATACTGAACCTGGCAAATTTATCCAGTGCGCGTGCACCCGTGGTCCGCGATAAGTAGAAACGGCGCGCAATGATCAGACGAGCCGATAGCTACGAATGTTCAAAGCTGCGGGGTCTTAAAAATGGAATGCTGCATAAACGATATTTGTATTGCCGTAGCAATAAATAATTTATAAACTTCATTAGCAAAATTCTGATATGTATCACATAAAAATGAAATACCTAACAATTATACTACTTAGTGTAGAAAAAAATATACTTCTAAACCGTTTAATCTTCTTGACAGTAAATATTGCGAATGTGGGTAAAAATAAAGAGTAGCCAATTGATACACCTAATATACCTGTCATTAATTTTACGAGAAATTTTTTTAAAACAAGCTGACCAATATTTCATTCCTTTTCGTTAAAGGAAAGTAAGCAGCTGTGCTTAACACTTTACACGGCTAGCCGGGTATTAATTCCCGTTTATGAGACTTACGTTTGATGAACGGTCGGGTATTAATACCCGTTCAGAGCGCGGCGCGAATTTTAATTATCCGCAGCTTATAATTCCGTAAATATGCATGAACGTTCAAGTAAGTAAAAATCTGGAAGGCTCTGTAATGGACAAGTGTTTGAGGTTATGTCCGAAGGATATCGAAAAACAAAAAAATATACCAAATACGTTTCCAAAAATGAAATAAATTTTCACAAAGGTGGCTCTGATATTTCCACAGAAAAATTTCTCTTAAAAATTTGGAATATTAATAATTTTATTTAAATAAAATTCAGTTGGGTTCAAAATAATAAACAATGAAAAATGGATTGAAAAGTTCGGAATGGTACCGGTTCAGCGCCATCTGGGGAATATGTCGACTGTTAATTCGAATAATATAGAAATACAAGTGATAATACGGATATAATTAACACGTTGGCTGCCATGAGAATTTCGAGCGTTTTGTTATAGTAAGATTTATTCCTTTATAATAGAGTAAAATAGTATTAAATATAATTATTAATGTTTTGATATTACCAGTATTCGTATTACACTATTATCTAGCTTCTCGTGTTACTAAACATTTATATTCAATATAAACTTTCTTATTGTAATTGCTTTCAAGCAGTTTGGAAGCTCCGGTCACCGGTGACCACCGTGGCAACGAGTTAACGAAGGGGATAATAAAAAGGGGGAAAAAAGAAATTATTATTAATCATAAAAAAGTAATAGTGAATTGTCACGCGTGTTTGTGATCGGGTTTCTCATCCGTGTATGCGCAGAACATGCCAGTTGTGATTCACGCTTATTCCCCTAATCGCGTTACCGGGACACCTAGGCGACCAACCGTCCTCCTCGTAGTCAGATCAGGGAGATACAAACCCGCTAACTACGCAATTTTCTTCTGCTCGCCTCCTCGCTCCACCGTCCGTCGATTTTGCGTCGTAGTTCGCGTGTAACACGAGGGTACCGGCCGTGTATAGCAAGAACTGCCAATACAACGACAGGCCACGGAGAAGTTCTGTTCATCGGGAGAACAAGATTCATAGTTCCTCTGGCCTATTGAATCTATGTTTTGTACTATTACGTCGCTCTGCGAGAACGTGACTATTCACCCAGGAACGCGCAATTTTTCCGCGAAAATCTTATGGAAGATTCTAGAGAGTTCAGTCGTCCTTCGATGGATTTAATTAACCCCTCATCATATGAATTATTTTATGAATAGTTTTACAAAAATCATTATATCGTTTAACACTAGAACTACTGAATGGGCCAGAATGACCCATTCGTGAATTATTCTTTTATAATTATTGAACACAACAAATGTTTCTTTGCGAAATTACTAAATTACTTAGTAACACGCAAATTGAATCGTAAGTCAATTGAAATCTCAATGGCTATAGTCTTAGAGTCCCTACAGACAAATCTGAAAACTTTAATTTAACTGCTCGGTAGTTCTAGTGTTGAAAAAAATTAAAATCCATTAAGTGCAAGATAATTCCCTTCAATTTGAATGAATGTGGTGTGAAATACGCATAATGTCCAAACGGAACTGAGCAGGCTTTCAGTTAAGTGGATAATTTTATGATTAAAAAGATTCGGTTAATTATTTTTTCGCAATGAATGCAAATAAGACTATGATGTATCGACATCGATATCATACATGTTTATTCGAACATTCAGATCTAACTACACGTCTATATGTGATGGCAACAACACAGTCCAAGCTAATCTTGTTAACCGTCGGATGGCGAAATGTCTGATAGTCTAATAAAGAGGGGAGCTGGGTCAATTCCCATCTACGATAAATACTATTACCTAATTAGTATTACCAAATAATACAAAAATAACAAATTTTACTTACAATCATTTTCACGTACTTCTCATCAAAGAGAATGTAGAATTTAGCTGACACAATAAACGTTTGAATATGAAACCTTACCGAGCGTTAACCTCATACAAATATAACCGAAAAGGGATACCATCTTCAGTCAAGGTCGAGTAAAACTGAAGACGTGGATAAAATTTTAACGACCGCGACCATCCATCGTGTCTACGATTACTTTTACGATCGTGTGTAAGTTTAAATCGTAGAATATCGGCGCTCTTTATTTTTACGGCTCGTTTCTAGGAGACCGTGAAAAATGGTAATTCGATATCTCGTTTACTATTCCGATTGCTAACCTAAGTGCAACGTAATACATCCGAACCAACCACTTCCTTCAATAATTGTCTCCGCGTAAATTGATTAATTTACAGTTCGAAAATTCTACGAATATTATTATAAGCGCCAATTGGAAACACTTTCGGCAGTGTTAGTGCGAACGAGATAAGGCAGACTCGATGCGATCGAGACGATTTTATCGTGGACATCGGTGTCGCTCGTTATTTCGTGCGAGCCGCCTTTCAAACATTTCCACGTTTCGGAAAGGGTATTCAACTGTCCGATAAGAAACGATAAAATGTGTCGCATTAGCATTTTTACGCGGCACCGTCGACAAAATTCGGTTTTCAACGTTTCAAATTCGTGCGATTCATCATTGTACCGTTATTCAGAGACGCCATTTCTATTCCGCACAATACTTTCACCTATCCACGTATATTCAAAACAAAAAACAAGCGAATAAGATATATCAGAATTCAGACACTCGACAGAACCATACTAACATACGTGTTCCATCTTCAAAACTTTCAGAAAAGTTCCTTCATGCTCAAGAAGTGTTACACCATCAACGGAAGAAATCTAGTAATCGAATTTCGTCCGTGAATCGATAACGCGATCGAGAGTACAACCGTCTCCCGAAACTCATCCTGTTCACTCGCGATGCTGTCGAACGTGCTTTCATTCCTATCCGGCGTTCGTTTCGAATAAAAAATAAAAATCAATAAAGCGTCGTACCTGTGTGATTTCAGCCATGGTATACAAAAATCTTTCCAATCACGTTCATTGTTCCGTATGTCGGCTTCTTTCCCGGGGTTTTCACGCACACACGCACGCAGACGCGGCACGTCGACGTCGACACGACGACGTCGCAGTGATGCCGAAGAGGCGGCTCTATGCGATGCCGGTTCGACGTCGTTGGAACAGTCTCGAAAATGCATCGCGGCGAAAACTACGTGGCCGCGAGCGAACGTCGTCCGACGAAAGATCGATCGGGAACCGCAGCAAACGGCCCCGGAGGAATGACGGAACGGTACACGGCGAGACAGGCGTAGAAACGAAGGAAAAAGGTGGCTCCCGCGATTCGCGGTCGCG